ACGTCCATATTCATGTTGCCACGCATAACGTCGAATCGACGTTAACAGTCAAACCCACCCACCCACCCTAAATAACGTCGAGCGTGGCAGTCACATTCTTCAAAACTTTCACAAAATTGTCATTTTGCCACGAGATTATCGAGATAACGTCGAGAGAATTGAGATAAACCCACCCACCCACTCATAACGTCGATTCGACGTTATGCGTGGCAATATGAATATGGACGTGACCCCTTAGGTGTGATAAAACATGCACTGCAAATGTTTTAAATTGCTTAAAAAAACAATTGATCTAGTAAGTTCATTGGCGAAGTAATTTTCAAAAAATATACTGCGGATTTCGATTTACCGTTTCAGCGTTTTAATTTCCGGTAATTGTTTTCCCGTTGAAACATACACGTTTCTAACGGTCAATATCAATGTTACTAAGTGAAGTCTAGTGATATTTGTCCGCTGTTTTCTTGTCTGTTGTTTATCATTTGTAAATGTAACTGTTATACTCGTGTTTATCTCGTCTTTGTCAACATTTTGATATATAATTTACAAAGCTTTGTGAATCATTTCATTTTTATTGTAGCGTATGAAAGGCTTCAAAATTATTTACTGGCCTTTTATACGCTACAATTTCCAAAATATCAATAAAAACATGAAATGATCCACAAAGCTTCGTAAATTATATATCAAAATGTTGCCAATGACGAGATAAATACGAATATAACAGTTACATTCACAAATGATAAACAACGGATACGAAAACAACGGACAAAGACCACTAGACTTCTCTTAGTAACATTGACATTGGCCCTTAGCAACTTGTTCGTTTTAACGTAAAAACAATCACCGGAAACAAAAGCCCTGAAACGGTAAATCGAAATCCGCAGTATTGTGTAATATTATGTTTTTGTAGCGCTTTGCACTGTGCTTATAGTGGTATCACTGATAAAGATAGCAGCCTCGAATAAAAATATTGAATGTTTTCACAAATATTTTGTTGTTGACTATCACACACCTGACCCTAGTTCTTGCATGGGTTAGGACAAAAATAAGCCATCTTGAATGATACCACTATAACCACAATGCAAAGCGCTACGAAAACGTATTAAATAAATATTTTAAAGGTAAATTGTCAATTCAAAATCTCAATATTATAAAACCCTGTATTAAAAAGCAATCTAATTTGACATATCTTTCATACATCACAATATATCAACACAAAAACAATCCCAAATACCTTAAACAAGAGAAACCAGAGGAATTCCAAGCAATTTCTAAACTAATCGATACAGCTGATGCAACATTTATACCAAGATGGAGTGTGAAATACAACATAAAGTTTGAGCCAAGTCAAGCTTGAAAAACATCGAATCTCGACCACAAATGCAACCCACAGCTTTCTTTAAGGAGTTACAAACATGTTGTTGTCCATTTGGCAAAGATTAGAGGTTATATTGGGATAAGATTCTACAAAAATAATGAAAGTTTTTAGGACGAAAATTTTCGCTGAAAGCACGAGGGCACAAGCTTCAATCTTTCCCGCGAAATTTCCTGGTGCTACCACTTTCAAACAAGAAATATCCTTCCTGTGATTTTCAAAACCATATCAAAACACATTCATGACTATTGAAATCACTGATGAGTGCTTCCACTTGCAAAGATTTTTCCCTGCAGCAAGGAAATTATGTGTGCTCTAAAGATCTCCTAAAATGCTCATGTTTTGTGTTCTTGTTTGCTCACACTCTATATATCAACACACCCTTTTCAGTACACCTCCAATTATTACAAAAATCCCTTCTTTTTTAAGACAGTTTGTCGGCTCCATAGAGAAAGCGAGGGTGTGTGCTGGGTACCTCGTTTCCATGGGTTTAGATTCCCGGGCATGCGAAAGGAAAAGAGGACTGCCAACAACACATAAAAAAACAAAGAAACAAAATATGCAAAAATTCCCATTGGTCGTAATCAATTTGCCTGTCAATCAAATCCGATACATAGTAATTATGCTATAAATAATTTTGGCAGTAATGGTTCCCATTGCATAGATTTTATTGGATATAAGTGATGTTTATAGAAAGGCGGAGCCAATTTGACAAGAGTGAAAAGTGGATATATTTCGATCCTTGAGGTGTTGTCAGCAGTCCCTCCTTTCTCCCAAACGACTGCTCACAGTCCAAGACTTCTATAAATTAAATATTCATCATGCCATTTGAGTCCTTTGCTCCATGCAGTCCACACAAGAGATGTCACACGCTGGATATGTCCAGGTACCAAGTTACAAACTTCTACTCCAAACTTTCCGACAGTTGTCGAAAACATTTCCTCTCATCAAAAGAATTACGTTCGAATGAAAAACATGTTTTAAAAAATTGTGATCAAATGCAAACAGAGGACCACGCCGTACACTAGGCTTAGCAAAGGGGAAATTTTGTAGGAAATTTTTCAAAAATTCAAAAACCACCCCAAACTAGCCCATCTTTCTTCTCATCAACATAATTACTAGTTTTGATATCTAAAAACACGGGGGAGAGGGACCACACCCCATGCTTTGCAACCTCTCTCAAAAACATTAAAAAATTTATAAACATATTAACTTCATTGTTTTTACTTTATCTGGCTCACTGGTCACAATTGGGCCCTTTTCATATTACCTGGCTAAGTTAGAGGCAACAATTGGCAGTATGTCCCATCCTATCCTGGCTAAACACGAGGTTTCCATTGCCAGAATCCTGCTTATAGAAGCCAATAATTCACCATATATACATCCCAACAAGGCAATATGAATTTGGCTTCAAGCATGTTTTCTGGATAGCCTAGATTATACAAACAGGTCCACAACTGGAACATTTTAGCACATGGAGCCCATCCCAGGCCTTATTGAAGTTGTATATTATAATTATGTATGAATTATATAGCTCAGTGTTGAAGCCTGTAATTTGTGAATTACCAAAATATCTGTGCAGAATGCTTAACATAAATTATAATGCAATCCCATATTGCCCCTTCAGAAGGCTAATATTAATTAATACTTGCTTGGGCCAAATTGTGTACTATAACATGACTTTTAGTCTAGTGAGCTGGTTAGCCTTTAGAGCTTTAAGTGTGAAACTCACAGTATCATCTTGCTCAAGCAGAAGCTGGGCCAGTCAAGTTGACCAAGTTCGTTCATGTGAATGCAATCTCAAAAATAGATCAAATTAACCCATTGAGTCGCATTGCACCCTGATGCACCCTACTTTAATATTTTACTCTGTCTAACGTACGCCAGATGATTTTACTCATGAAGGAGAGAGAGCACTGGTGCTTAATGAGTTAATATACAAGGCAGTATCTCGCCATGGGCAAGTATATGTTTAGCCCACAGCTTGCTCAGTGTGATATGGCCCAAAATGTTCCAACTGTAATTCCACAATCTGTTAAAGTCTGTTGACATGATCTGGGCTGGAATGAAACCATGAAGGCAAGGTCATATTGCCTGGTTGGGATAGAGTGTTTTCTGCAAATGGTGAGTTTCTTGGCTTGCATAATTGCATTCTGGCAACCAGAGACGGATTTTTATATTTTCTTGGAAAAATATCTGGGGGGTGCTGCTGCTTGCTTTGACCGGGGCCTGGTTGCAACGTCCAGAAAGGCCAAGAAAAATGTTTAACAAAACTTTTTTCTAGGCCTGCATGGCGGCATCTGAGACCATAATATTAGTAATTTTACAAATTTAGTAATAAGAATAAACAAATAGGAAAATATCAAATAAAAAAATATGTATAATTTGAGGGGGTGCAAAACTTTTTTGGGGCGGTGCTAAATGCCTCTGGGGGTGCAAAGTATTTCTGGGGGGTGCACCTGGACCCCCTCCCCCCACACACACAAAAACCCATGCCTGGTAGCAACAGATGCCTCAGATACCAGACCCCATTTGTGACTAGTGAGCCAGATTAAGTAAGGAACAATGAGGGTCCTACATCCATAAATTTTGGGGCATTTAATTGAAAATTTGCTCAAAAAGTAAAATGCCCCACATATGCCCCCCGTTTAACATTGTTAGGCATATTACCATCGACAAAGCGTGTGAGAGAACATCTGTGAGTTGGATGAAGATTCCTTGTTCTGAACAGTGGATTTTCCACAGATTTGTGGAAAGGCCTTTGATTGGACAGTGCTTTATTTGAATAATATATGTGAAATTAGGATATTTCATTGGATAATTGATAATTTGCATGCATTTAAAAAGACAACACAATAGTTCTAAATTCAGAAATTTCCTTCATGAGCATACAAAGGTTTGAAAGACTTGAAATATAATCTGTTGCCAAGGTGTTAACCAGGCGGCCGTCCGACCGTCCCATGGACGGCCACTTCTGAATTTGGACGGCTAAATTATAATGGACGGCCATGGACAGCCTAAGGGAATATTTTCTTTAAATAGCAACCTACAAAGTTTGTAATATTTCTAAAATACTTCACGTCATATTTTTGTAAAACGTGCCATGTTTTTGTAACCATTTTGATGATTCTCGCATGAAGTGTCAAGGAGAATAATGTGAAACCGCTGTTTTAAAAAACAGCGATCGCTCAAGCAACACGCTACAGTTACGGTAGTGATCATACCATGTGTGCTTTTACTAATTTAATGACAGAAGCATCTAAAACTAAAAGTAAAAGGTTCAATGAATAAAACACCACAATTCCTCAACAACAGAAAATTGCGGCCACACCCAAAAACATGTGACCACGTCCACAAAAATATGTTGCCACAAAATTATTTTGGACGGCCACTTTTGAAATCCTGGCTAACACCCTGTCTGTTGTATTTAATTTTGCGCTGTATAAGGGTTAAGAAAATCAAGATAAAATTCTACTGTTTGGACATTCAGCAAACAATGCTGACAAATATAAAATACAACAAACCATTGGACAGCGATTGACAATTTATAATTAACGATTAAATTGACAATCTGTTTATATGTCCCATATTAGGATGTTAGGGTCCTCTTTCGACAAAACATTTTCTTTAGTGTACTTACTTCATCTTACTTGGCCAGTTAACTTTTAATTATTTTAAAATGTACCTTTTGAATAACCAGTTGCATTTATATTAATTTAATACTTTGTCTTTGTAAACAAATATATGCCATAGCCAATATGTATACTAAGAACTGAGCTTGTACACCGCACTTGACGGCTGTGATCATTGTTCAGTATTGTTCACATTCAAAACAAATCTCTTCATCGAAAAATATATACAATACATTTCTGGTGTATTGTTTTTCAGGTTATATTATTTTCTTTCAAACCTTTGTACATCCAGAAGGAAATCTTGACTGTTGAAAAAATCTGGATTTAAAGTTATTGTGTGGTTATTTTAAATACATGCTAATTACAATTAACCAATGAAACATCTTCATTTGTCATATACAGTATTATTGAAATAAAGAACTGTCCAATCAGAGGCCTTTCCACAAATCTGTGAAAAGTCATGTGACCAGAACAAGGAATCCACAGACTTTCTCCACACGTTTCGTCTGTACACAGTCTACTGAAATCTCGATTTGAAAAGCTTTTAAAAATGCTAATTCACTCAGAACCAACAAATTTGAGGTGTAGTATTTAAGTTCGAGCAAGGCAAAGTTTGAATCCCATATCCTTGCAATCACACAATTAATCAAAATTCCCCACAAGGAAGTTGAGGAGAGTTCTTTTAAGAAGAACACATATCAATTTTCACATTTTCCCCCCAGGATTTTCCCTTGGGTTCATTTTTGCAAGGAAAATTGAATTTAGCTGAACAGCGGGGGCAGCTGCAAGAGGCTGACACCTGTATCCAATAAATGTAGATGAGAAACGCAATGTGTTAAAGCAGATTTAATAAACTGATTACTGCAATATTAATGACCTGATCGATAAACTGATTAGATTGATTACTGCATAGCTTGCGTGCAGGCCCAGGGAAGAATGGTGAGCCTACAAGGAAGACCCAGTAAAACACGCCCCTCTTTGTGTCAATTGTCAAAAAAGAACCAATGACAAAAACAAATAGTAACAAACAAACTCGCATTAAAACATTGCAGGGTTTTCTCTGATATATTCAAAATAGAAACAATGTGTAAATGGCTGTGTTTTAACTCCAAAAAAGCAAGCAACACAGTAATTTCTGAATTTGCCAGTGCTCATTTTCAACTAAAATCAGAACAGGCAAATTAGGACAAATTTCAACAGAAAACCAATCTCAAACTTCAAATTGTGAGGAAAGTCATGCGACCACATTAGCACTAATGTGTGCTTCCACCACCATTGTTATAAATAAATGGACCATTTGCATTATAGACTAAATTTTGATCTAGACAAGTCTAGACAACAATTTCATGAGAGCTTGAAAGAGTATCACAAAATTAGCAATATTCCAAGGTTTCGTTGCAAAATGTTGTGAAATGCAGATAATATAGCCTTGTAAAATTTGCAATTTTCAGTCATTTTGTATTACAAATGGAAAATTGATGCCCCAACAGCCGATTGGGCAGTCAGTTTCCCATGCGTAATACAAAATG